AGCCAGATTTTGTTCATTTTCATGGTTTCCTCCTTTCTGTTGAAATTGTCCACATGCTTGTGATTTCAATGGCTTCTGTGTAGTCTGACATGGTGGTTGTGAGAGTGGTCCAGCATTTCTGTGTTCTCAGATAAAATGCTGTGTCCAGGCTGGTTCATCAGGTGCTCTGCTATGGCTGACTTCTCTGGTTGAAGTAGTCTGCAGTGCCTTTCATGTTCCTTGATTCGTGTTTGGGCAATGCTGCGTTTGGTGGTCCCTATGTAGACTTGTCCACAGCTGCATGGTATACGGTAGACTCCTGCAGAGGTGAGAGGATCCCTCTTGTCCTTTGCTGAACGTAGCATTTGTTGGATTTTTTTGGTGGGTTTGTAGATTGTTTGTATGTTATGTTTCCTCGTCAGCTTCCCTATGCGGTCAGTGGTTCCCTTGATGTATGGCAGGAACACTTTTCCTCTGGGTGGATCTTCATCTTTACTCTCGTGGCTTGTTCTTGGTCTTGCAGCTCTTCTGATGTCTGAGGTGGAGTCTCCATTGGCCTGTAGAGCCCAGTTGAGGTGGTTCAGTTCACCTTGGAGGAGGTGGGGTTCGCAGATTCTTTTTGCACGGTCTGCCAAGTCTTGCATGTGCCCCTGCCCAATCAAAATATCATTCTAGCCAAAAGCAGTATTCTTTCCTCTTGCAAACTTAGAAGCAAAAGGGTTTCACTTCTGTGCTTAAAGGCTGTCTTGAATGCATAAATGACATCTGTAGTCCCCACATTCAGAGGGAAAGGTGTGACATATTGGGCACTGCCTCTTTAAAATTACATATGCAATGGTAAGCATCAAGAGACCGCCCACCAAAGCTAGGCTTTAGATGAAAGCACACAGACAGCCGGACTTCTGATCCTGCTCTGCTACAGGGCAGATGTGCAGTTCCACTTCTAGTCCCATACAGCATCCTTGGCATCTCCTGTGCCGTTCCATTAAGAGCGCTGCAACCATCCTGTGATATTCAGAGCTCAGAGTTTTCTCTGAAAGCAACAACGAGGGACACAAGCACAAGATCCAGGACAGGTACTGCTTGCTTTCTACTTCTTTAAAAACATATGTTACTGCTTTGCCAGGGAGTTGATGTACACATCTATGTACTACTACTTTTGAAAATGAATAATCTAAGCAGACCTTGATATGAAGTTTAGATGTTTTCTGCTCTTCTTTTGCAACAAAGAACAAGAGTTAGCCATAACTCCTTCCCCTTCCCAGAAATAACCTCTGGACCCTTAATATATATTTTTTTCAGATGAAGGATGGTATCTGATTATTTTCAGCAGTGTTTACTTCCAAATAAGTCTGTTTAAGATAGGTCGTCTGGACAATTCTAGTTACACATTGTATCATAGCTATGCTATAGAAACCAAAAAGCAATTACTTTGGTGTGACAATAGAAACCAGATAATTTATTGTAATGGCCACATAGGTTGATTCCATTGAAAAGTCCCAAAGGTGTTATGCTGCTCATTTTTTTTTTCATTTTACACTAGTCTTGCCAGCTTGACTGGTCACTAGCATGCCACCTTCCAGAGGCAGGCATGTAGCAGGGGGGGGGGCTTGGGGGCTTCAGCCCCCCCCCAAAAAAATTCTGGTGGTGGTCCGCGAGAAGGCCTTACTGGTGCATTATTTAAACTGCTATGTTTATTCATATAATGATCTGATCACTATACTCAATATATCCCATATGCATGGGGATATTGGGGTAACGATACAAAAGGTTTGCTAGGGTAGACCCTCTTTCACTCTGACTCAGCCCCCCCCAAAGCAAACTCATCCCCCCCCCCAAAAAAAAACAAAATCCTGGCTATGGGCCTGTCCAGAGGTGTTGTGCTACAACTCCCAACATGCCAGCCAGCACTCTGGTTGTGGGTGATGAATGTTACGCTCCAGTGTACTTCAAGGGCAGCAAGTGGGAGGATTCTGCACAAGAGAAATGGACAGCATTTATATGCACCTCTATTGGCTGGACCTTGATAAGAAACTGAACTTTATTTATTTATTTCCATTATTTATATTCCGCCCTTCTCACCCCGCAGGGGACTCGGGGCGGATTGCAATGTACACATATATGGCAAACATTCAATGCCAATTTGACATCCAACGTATACAGACATACACAGAGGCTATATTAACTTTTTCTGGCCGCCAGGGGAGCTGTCGCTTTCATCGTCCATCTGCGACACTGATGAAGTCCTTCCGCATTCCCCGCATGCTTTTGCTGGAGTCTTTTTTATGGCCTCATAAATTAGTTAATTTAGCCTCCCCACACAAGGTGGTACCTAATTTTCCTACTTGACAGATGCAACTGTCTTTCGGGTTGCAAAGGTCGACAACAGGCTACACAATTGGTTGGAAGCCCACTCCAACCCGGGCTGGCTTCGAACTCATGACCTTTTGGTCAGAGTGATCTTAATGCAGCTGACACTTAGCCAGCTGCGCCACAATCCAAAAAGTTTGTTTTGATCAATAACCATTACCGGTATTGTGAGTGCCTTGTGATCACTAGTGGGTATATTGGGGAAAGCTATTTAATTGGTGTGAACAGACCTCCACTTAATAGGTTCTTTTTTTCTGTCCAACAAAAAGTGAACTGATTACTGTAAAGACTCAAAGAGCCACTGTGGCTACAAAAGCACATTTAGAATTTTTTCCCAGTTTGCTGCACAGATACATAGTTTCAGATTGTAACTGGAATACTGGTGAACCTAGAAGGGGGTTTGCTTCCAGTAGTGGGTTCACAGCATTTCAAACAAGTAATTAAATCTGTCTCATCAACTATGAAGATTCCAGTCAGAAGGAACACAGAAACATGTGATGTATGTGAGTTGTAAATGGCATATTTGTCCTAATAATCGAAATGTCTGAGTACTTTGTCTCTGTTACAAAGAATAAATTGTGAAATAGCAAACTCATTTGGGGACCTGGCAGTTCACGGGTTCCATCGGAGCCCCCGGTGGCGCAGTGGGTTAAACCCCTGTGCCGGCAGGACTGAAGACTGACAGGTCGCAGGTTCAAATCCGGGTAGAGGCGGATGAGCTCCCTCTACCAGCTCCAGCTCGTCATGCGGGGACATGAGAGAAGCCTCCCACAAGGATGACAAAACATCAAATCATCCGGGCGTCCCCTGGGCAGGGTCCTTGCAGACGGCCAGTTCTCTCACACCAGAAGCGACTTGCAGTTTCTCAAGTCTCTCCTGACACAACAACAACAACAAAAAAACAGGTTCCATCATTTGTGTTTGGGAGTTCTAATGCTGAAAGGTCTGAACATATGGATAAGAGTTGTACATGGAATATGGGGCTAGTCATTTTATCTCGGTGTTTGGAAATGTTACTTCTTGTACTACAACTCCCCAGATAACTGAAAGTTGTGGATGGCCACACTGGCTTCGGAGAACTTTGGAGCTGTAATATTAAAAAGTAACTTTTCTAAGCTTTGTCTACCCCATATGTAGACCTGGACAACATTTCTCTGGTCTGTCAATTGAGAGCAAGTGAAGCACTCTCCAATGACTTATTAGCCTCGGTTTTTACTTCTGGAGAACAGGCACATTAATTCCACTGGAAAATTGGATTTCCTTCCTCTTGAGTCTTTTTTGTCAGTTGCGTGATGAAAATCAGTTCTATTGATTTACTTCAACAAAGGTGCTGAAGAGTTACAAAGTCTGGCACTGTAGATTTGCTTCCATAATAAAATATTGCTGACATAACTCCAGTTTTATTCCAGATAATTACTTAATGTACCAAAACTACAAAAGCTGTAATTTAGTCTCAAAGAGCCCATCAAAGGTTGCAAAAACAAATATTAGGTGAAAAATAGATCAGATGTGCTTTGAAGTAAGATGGTGCTTCAGACAGGACAGGACGAGCAAAACTTACACTGGAAAAGCATCTCCCCGTCTATTTCCCCATGTCATTCTTTTATTTCAGCCTGTATACACACAGGCTTTGCTTTCAAAAAAGCAAAGTACAATCAAGTACTCAATTCTTCCTAATCTTCAGTTTTAGGAGCCCCCGGTGGTGCAGTGGGTTAAACCCCTGTGCCGGCTGGACTAAAACCGACAGGTTGCAGGCTTGAATCTGGGGAGAGCGTGGATGAGCTCCCTCTGTCAGCTCCAGCTCCTCATGTGGGGACATGAGAGAAGCCTCCCACAAGGATGATAAAACATCAAAACATCCAGGCGTCCCCTGGGCAACGTCCTTGCAGACAGCCAATTCTCTCACACCAGAAGTGACCTGCAGTCTCTCAAGTCGCTCCTGACATGACCAAGAAAAAAAATCTTCAGTTTGGATTGCTACAAAAATAAAACAGCTTGTATGACTGATTGTGCACCAAGTACGAAGTACAATTTCTGCTATTTTTTCATACTGCTTTGCTTCAAAATGCAAATCAATACAAAGTACTAATGCCTAGGAAAGCATTGCATTTGGGTTTGAAAATATTTTGTACAAGTCATCTAAAATGTATGGTTGTTGTTGTGTGACTTATGACTTAACAGTGATCCTTTTCATTATTATTATTATTATTATTAAAATTATTTTATTTCATTTCTCCATACAGATAACAAAACAATACAATACGAATCTTAGCCATCTAAAAGATAATATCAAAAGTATTTACAATTTTTATGTCTAGGATACAGGTTCCAATTGTGCTTCCCTTAGCCGTATATCTCGATTAATTACCCCTTTAAACCCCACCCCACCCACCCACCCTTACCACCCTCTTCCCACCTCCCTCCCACCCCCATCTGGGTTACTTGAATCAATACATTGATTTAATTGTCTGGAAGGCCTGATTTAAAGTTCTGTACCTATCTTTTCCTTCCGTTTTGTCGATTAAACAAGACCATTTCCTGTACCAATCTTGTCTTGACAGCAGGGTTATAGCCAGGATTTTGTTTCGGGGGGAGCTGAGTTTGATTCGAGGGGGGGGGGGGGCTAAGTCTGAGTGAAAGAGGGTCTACCCTAGCAAACCTTTTGTATCGTTACCCCAATACCCTCATGCATATGGGATATATTGAGCATGGTGATCGGATCATGATATGAATAACATAACAGTTTAAATAATGTACCAGTAAGGCCTTCTCGCTGACCAGCCTGAGAATTTCGTGGGGGAGGGCTGAAGCCCCCCAAGCCCCCCCCCCCCCCCCCGGCTACATGCCTGCTTGACAGTGATCCTAAAGCAAACCTATAACAGAGTTTGCATGGTGAGATGGAGAAAACATTGGATGATATTTGGAGATAGTGAGCACTTCCATTTATGGTTGGGGAGGCCGTAACTTGCATTACAAATTGATTGTGATAATATCTTTGTTCAGAGGGGGGTTAATGTCCTTTTCACTCCTAAGACAATTTGAGAGTCCTCGAGCATGACTCTTCTTTTACATTCTGCACTTCTCTGACTATTCTTCTCTTCTGATTTTTATAGACAAGCAATGCTGTGATTGCTGTAATGGATTCGGAGATCATGACTGATGAAAGCATGAAAACTCTTCCCCTGGCCACTATTTCTGGGAGATATTGAGAAGACAAAACTTAGCACAACCAGTTTATTAAAACAAGAAAAGACGAGAACAACACCATGAGGCATGACGGGCATTATCCAAATGATACGCTCACGAGTACCAACTTTGCTGCCATCTACAGCCACCGTAATGGGGACTTCACCTCTTATCAGAACTTCACTTTCCCCTTCAATTTCAGCTACAGTGACTATGATTTGCCCTTGGATGATGGAGACGATGTGACAAAAACACGGACTTTCTTTGCGGCCAGGATTGTCATTGGGGTGGCACTAGCCGGTATCATGTTAGTCTGTGGCATTGGCAACTTCATTTTCATTGCTGCTCTGGCCCGCTATAAGAAGCTTCGTAACCTCACAAACCTTCTCATTGCAAATCTGGCCATCTCTGATTTCCTGGTGGCCATTGTCTGCTGCCCATTTGAGATGGACTACTATGTGGTGCGGCAGCTGTCGTGGGAGCATGGTCACATACTCTGTGCTTCTGTCAACTACTTGCGCACTGTCTCCCTCTACGTCTCAACCAATGCCCTCTTGGCAATTGCTGTGGATAGGTAAGGAGGAGACTTAGATATTGGAATCATCTGTAGCCTGTAGTTTTGTTTTTGTGTCTAGGTCTGGCATTTTCCAGGCAGGTTCTCCCATCCTTTCCCTCAAAAAACGGCCCAGTATTTTCTCCCTCCTTCAGAGCCCTTCACCATAATCTTACCAAGATCAACTTCTATGTACTCATCACAGTTACAACAGAGGAATGAGAAGAACTTCCAACATACCTCACTACCTCTGAGGATGCTTGCCATAGATGCAGGCGAAACGTCAGGAGAAATGCCTCTAGAACATGGCCCTATAGCCCGAAAAAACCCACAAGAACCTAGAATAGCCCACTGTTTCCCCATATTTTGTTAAATTGAGTTCAGAGCAATGAACAGTGTGCCAGTTCTGGGCTATTGCAACCAGCATGTTGCTTCCCATTCTGAGCCATGAAAATCAGCATTTTGGAGAATTTTGCTTTCTCCAACATTGGATGGAAAAGGGGTACCCTTGAAGCCCCTAGAGCAGTGGTTCTCAGTGGTTCTGGTGGTACAACTCCCAGAAATCCCAGCCAGTTTACCAGCTGTTAGGATTTCTGGGAGTTGAAGGCCAAAAACATCTGGGGACCCCAGGTTGAGAACCACTGCCCTAGAGCAATGGTTCTCAAACTTTGGTCCTCCAGGTGTTTTGGACTTCAACTCCCAGAAATCCCAGCCAACTTGCCAGCTGTTAGGAATTGTAGGAGCTGAAGTCCAAAACATCTGAGGGATCAAAGGTTGAGAAGCACTACCTTTTAGACAACTATTTTTTTCAAAACATGCCATACATCGCAGCAGTTTTGTCTAATGTGACTCGCTCACCCTACCAAATTGTAAGGCCAGCCCTTCTAGGGGTAAAGGTTCTGTTCTCCAGCACTCATCGTATCTTCCCTAGTCTCCTCCCTTTCAGATGTGAAAACAAGGGGTTAAAATCAATCTATCGGTGCAAGAAATGACAGATTTAATAAACATGCCATGTATCTCTTACTGAAGGGTGATCTAAAATATGTCTTTACTTTCTGCAATCTATCCATATCTCCTCTTTTCCATAAAATGGCAACAGGCTACATGGAAACAAAGAAGCGTTCAACCTGGAGCTGGAACTGATAGATGCTAGGTAAAGGGAGAAAATGATACTTTTGTAGGTAATACCTTCTATTAAAAAGAACCCCAGAAGTTCCCGTTCCTGGATAATTCATTTAAGAAAGTATTATTGAGACTTAACCCTTGTATCCATTCTAAAATGTGATCCAGTAGAAATAGATCATTTTCCATTTATTATACTCCTATGAAAGATCCCAGCATCAGAGAAGACTTCAGTTTTAGACTCCTATATTTGCAATTAATGTTAGCTTTTGTCTCACATAGACTTGTTCATCCAACCATTTAATTCATTCATATATATATATATATATATATATATATGAACAGATTAATTTGGAAGAGTTTGAACAATACTGTTGCTGAATGTTGAAGCCAATCAACTAGCTAATGATAACAATATGATAAGCTGCAGAGAGACAGTAATAGAGAATCCTTATGATTACCAAGCACCATCATAATGGCATTGAATAATGGACCCGACCGTAGTTCATTCCGTTGAAGACCTAACAAACTGTGTTTAGCTGTTGACTGTACGGTACACCAAGTACACTAACAAGAGCCAGAAGGTATGAGGGATTCCCATTTTATGAGATTTTCAGTGGCCCCCAGTGGCGCAGTGGGTTAAAGCACTGAGCTGCTGAGCTTGTTGATCAAAAGGTCGCAGGTTCGATTCCGGGGAGCAAATATAATATAATAGCCCTAGCTTCTGCCAACCTAGCAGTTTGAAAACATGCAAATGTGAGTAGATCAATAGGTACCGCTCCGGCAGGAAGGTAACGGCGCTCCATGCAGTCATGCCGGCCACATGACCTTGGAGGTGTCTATGGACAACGCTGGCTCTTCGGCTTAGAAATGGAGATGAGCACCACACCCCAGAGTCAGACATGACTGGACTTAATGTCAGGGGACAACCTTTACCTTTACCTTTTTTCAATTACAAAAAATAATACAAAGAATATATCTTATATATTTTATGATAAATTAATTTCTACAGGCAATGCATTGGCAGTAATTTTGCAATGTGCACTAGGAAATGTGAATGATTGGGAATCTTTTGTTTCTTTTTCCAACCCCGTGGAAACTCTTATCAATACAATTCAGTACCAAGGAAATGTGTTTTCTGTATATTTCAAAATTGGAGTAATAATGCTAATATACAGAAAGCCTAAAGATAAGATCACATTATTCTACTGTAAAGAAGTGTCTCCCTATTATATTGGAAACACTTCTAGTATATTAAACACTAGAATTAGACCTGTCCAAGATTTTAATTTGGGTCAGTAATAAGAAATTTTGCTCAGCAATATGTGTGTGTGTGTATGTATTGTTGAGAATGTAATTGAAAATGCAAGTGTAGAGAAGAAAAGATACAACAGTGAATGAAAAGAATTGAATAGTGAATAAAAGGAATAAAATAGTGAATTAAAGGAATAAAAGAAAGGAGGGAATGAGAGACAGGGCTAGGCATAATGAACAGATTGATTTTGCATGAAATCACTATATGGAGGCAAATAGATATTTGATATCTTTTAGCTAGCATTCTGTCCTGCAGTTTGAAGCCTGTGGCAACCTTGGAGAGAACGAAATATCTGAAGAACAGGTTTAGTACATGCTGATATTTATATGGCAATAGAAGTCAGTCAGATGCATGGCCTGAAACTCACTGGCACACAGATTTCCAGGTCCATTTCACTTCAGTGCTCTGCTCAGATCTATTACTGCATCCCGTAAAGAGCAAAATCTTTCACTTTTCCCACAGTCAATAAGCATACCATCTTAAAAAATTCTCCAGCTGTATTATTAAAGTTTAGGGTTGATGTCATTTCTTGCACTTCTGAGATTTTTTCCTCCATTGCCCCTCTTGCCTTATCTTTCTTTTCCCAAGATTCTGTGTTTTATATTCAGCTGCTAAAATCAACTGTAACCTGATAATAAGGATAGACATTTCCAAGGGGTGGAGACAAGGCTCAGTTTTTACCCCGTGCGCCCATTGTAAGCTGCACAAATGCATCAAGGTATATGACATCACTTTTCTCTAAGAAAAATGAGTTCTATACATCAAACTGATGGAGTTTGGCTATTGGCAGAGAATGGGTGTCACCTGTCCTAGCAAAAAACAACAAACTGATAATCCAATTGTTATGCCATTTGCAAGATCTTGCATTCTGCTGTTGCATGGTCACATAATCAAATGCCCATTTAAGAGAATAAAGTATCTAAAGAAACTGTACAATGCAGGTACAAAATGTGTAATTTTCCAGATGTCACTGTTTTTCATCTTCCATCAGCACTGGGCAGCTTAACCAGTGGAGAGAGTTTATAGGAGTTGTAATCCAATAGTACTTTGTGGGCCATTTGTTCTCTAAGGGTGCATCTACATTGTTGGATTAATGTACTTTGGCATCACTTTAAGTGCCATAGCACAATGCTGTGGAATAATAGGGGTTGGTCGGCATGGGAAAATGGAATGAACAACTTGGTACTGTATATGCTTGCACAATCCTCATGCATTTTGGAGGATCCCAGAGGCTGTACCAATTGAATGGCAGAGCTCATGCCACTTGAATAAATAGTTCAGGCTATTAGATGGATGCAGATACATTTGCAGGATCATGAACTAATGTCTGACCTAGGCATAAGGGGAAATATATTATTGAGTCATAAGAAAAACAGACCATAGTTGTAATAAAAATTTGTCAGTCAAGATTTGGATAAAGGTTAGATTAGAAGGGAAAAAAACTTTGGACATCCAGAAGTTTTGGATATATGCAGATAGGCTTGTGTACACAGGCCGAATAACTCGTTCTCATACTGCAGTTGATTCTGACTGTCCTCATGACATTTTGCCATTTCTTGTGGTTATCATGTGGTAAAACCAGGTTAAGTTGGTTATTAAAAAAAGTCAGGAGTATGCTTCAGGGTTCACCTGAAAGCTCTAGAGCAATCTCACTGCTTTGGTGCAATGTTGACATCAGGACTGGGCCCTATATGTATCTGTCTGCTGTCTACATGGGCTGCTGCTGTCGCCATAAATGGAATGGATCAGGCCCATGTCACTGCTGCACAAATGGCCATAGATCTCCATGTGCTGGTGGTGTAAGTACTTGTGCTGCCATCTGGGAGTAGCAACAATGACATATGGACAGTGCTTTGAGGGTTCAGCAGAGCTAATGCAGTCTCAGATCACAATTTACCCACCCTAGGTTCAAGAAAAGCTGAGGGTCTTGGTTTAAGTCATGCCCAGCCAGTTCAGGGGGGGGGGGGGGCTTGAGGGGCTTCACCCCCCCCCCCCGAAATTCTCATGGTGGTTCGTGAAAAGGCCTTACTGGTGCATTATTTAAACTGTTATGTTTATTCATATCATGATCTGATCACCATACTCAATATATCCCATATGCATGGGGGTATTGGGGTAATGATACAAAAGGTTTGCTAGGCTAGACCCTCTTTCACTCAGACTCAGCCCCCCCCAAAACTCAGCCCCCCCCAACCCCCCCAATCAGCCCCCCCCCAAAGAAAAGCTGAGGGTCTTGGTTTAAGTCATGCCCAGCCAGTTCAGTAGATGCCAGAGGAAGATGGCTTGTCCCTGGTGGAGATACTGGGGTGGACCTGATGCATTCCCAGGGCCATTCCCAGAGGATGTATGAGTAAGCACTTGGAGAAAATACAAAACCCTCTAGTTATTTCATCACACTAGAGAATGAATCCACTTTAAATCTGGTTTCTGCCTCCTGCAAAATTCTGGGGTTTGTAGTTTAGTGAGGCTGTTAAAGATTCCTACCTAAACTACAAAGCCCAGAATTCTGCAAGATACAGCAACCAGATTTAAAATGGATTCATTCTCTAGTATGAAAGAGCTATCCTTGGGCAGCTGAGTTATATGGCTTGCAGGACACTGTGTTGATTTGTTCAGAGGAATTCCCCTCATCCATTAACTCACAAAAACTATTGGAAATCAATGCAAAATGCATGCCTTAACTTGAATTGGGAAAGTGAATGTAGTTTTTTCCTCATTGATTAAATTCATTTATCTCGACGAGAACGAACTGTCAATGTGTACAATACAGAACGTGCTGGTCATGTCTGTCTGAGTAACCAGGCGACAGGGGTGCGTGCTCAAGATCCTTTCACTGATCTTGTGCACAGAGTTCATAATTCAGAAAAGAATCAGGTACTGCTACAGTGTTACCTATGACCAGTTTCAATGTGGAGAAGTGTTTTATAGATTGTAAGCAAAGCAAGAATATCTATGAATCAAATATTTTCAAGCACTTCCAAGCTCTATAGTTAATTGATTAGGGGTGGATCTCTGTAATGGTGAATCAATAGTGTAATTCTACCTTGAAACCTCAAGCACTCACAGGAGTGTCATCTTGAGCTCCATAGAAGTAGCAATGTCCTGTCAACACCAGTGGCTTCTTCCAAACTGTGGAAAAGAAACCAGGTTGCCTTCCACAAGCAAGTGAAGACCTTTCTATGCCAGCAGACATTTGGGAAAGGGTGAGGGGCATGCTGTTCGGGAGGCTGTGGGCTTGAGGGGCTTCAGCCCCCCCCCGAAATTCTCATGGTGGTTCGCAAAAAGGCCTTACTGGTGCATTATTTAAACTGTTATGTTTATTCATATCATGATCTGATCAACATACTCAATATATCCCATATGCATGGGGGTATTGGGGTAATGATACAAAAGGTTTGCTAGGCTAGACCCTCTTTCACTCAGACTCAGCCCCCCAAAACTCAGCCCCCCCCAACCCCCCCCCCTAAAAAAAATTCAGCCCCCCCCCCCCCGAAATGAAATCCTGGCTACGGGCCTGGTGAGGGGCATGCTGTTTGTGAGGCTGTGGGTAGTATTCTAGGGGAATTGCAAGTTTTAAAAGTAATTTTTATTATGTTTATTATATTTTACTGTAATTTAACCGAAATCCACACAGTACTGTTCTGTGTTTTGTTTGTAAAAAAAATGTATGCTTGTTTTAAACTGTGACCAGATTGTGTGGGGATTAGCCTCCTTGAGTCCCCACAAGGAGAAAGGCAGATATCTCACATACATGCACACACACACATGAGGATAGAGGCACTCACTAGGTCCTATGATCTGGCATTTTCTTGGTGATGCCGTCTTATTTTCCATATTTAACTGTTCCTTTTTAAGGACTCTAGAGAGCCATAGATTAAGTTAAATCTACCAAGTGTACAAAACCTACAGTAAAAACAGGTGCATTAATAACAAGGTGGCTGGACTATACCAGCTAGGAAATGCTTGTCTATAAAGAAACATCTCCAACCAGGAACGGTATAAGCACAGACCCATGTAGATGGGAATGGTTTCTTTAGTAGACACCAGGCCCGTAGCCAGGATTTTGATTTGGGGGGGGGGGGGCTGAGTTTGTTTCGGGGGGGGGCTGAGTCTGAGTGAAAGAGGGTCTACCCTAGCAAACCTTTTGTATCGTTACCCCAATACCCCCATGCATATGGGATATATTGAGTATGGTGATCAGATCATGATATGAATAAACATAACAGTTTAAATAATGCCCAGTAAGGCCTTTTCGCGAACCATGAGAATTTCAGGGGGGGGGGCTGAAGCCCCTCAAGCCCCCCCCCCCCCCCCCCCCCCCCCCCCTCTCTTTAGTAGACACCAGTGAGGGGTGTCATTATAATGGTCATGTACTCAGGAATTCTAGTCCTGTGCTGTTTAGGATTCTGCACAGTATTGCTAAAACTTTAAATGAGTTTCAGGAGCCAACAGACAATGAGTGTGTAGCAAACAGCAAAATACGTTGTCTGAAAATATCCAAGAAGTTGCAGTTTGCATAAATATCAACCGCTTCACCAGTCCCAAGAGCAGACTTCCGTAAAGCACGTTTTGTTATTGTTGTGTGCCTTTAGGTCATTTAAAAACCCTAAAAGGAATCTATCATGGAATTTTCTTAGCAAGATTTGCTCAGAGAGATATGGTTTTGCCTTCCTCTGAGGTTGAGAAATGGTAACTTGCCCAGGTTCACACAGCAAGGATTTGAAATGTTGTCTCTCTCCAGAGTCATAGTCCAAGCCTCAAACTACTATGCCACACTCTTTAGAACACATGGTATAGTCTAATCCAAGGGTTCTCAAACTGTGCTCTGCTGAGGCTCCACGAGTGATAGTGAGGGACTCCGCGGCACCATGCTGCTTCCCACCCCATTCCTCTTTTCTCCTCTGCCTCCTGAGAAATGTGGGAAACTTAAAGTTTGGAGCTGCTGAAGCAGCAGCAGTAGAGTCATTTTTCCCCTGCCCCCCTCATAGAATCATAGAGTTGGAAGAGACCTCATGGGCCATTCAGTCCAACTCCCTGCCAAGAAGCAGGAAAATTGCATTCAAAGCACCCCGACAGATGGCCATCCAGCCTCTGTTTAAAAGCTTCCAAAGAAGGAGCCTCTACCACACTCTGGGGCAGGGAGTTCCACTTCTGAATGGCTCTCACAGTCAGGAAGTTCTTCCTCATGTTCAGATGGAATCTCCTTTCTTGTAGTTTGAAGCCATTGTTCCGCGTCCTAGTCTCCAGGGAAGCAGAAAACAAGCTTGCTCCCTCTTCCCTATGACTTCCTCTCACATATTTATACATGGCTATCATGTCTCCGTTCAGCCTTCTCTTCTTCAGGCTAAACATGCCCAGCTCTTTAAGCTGCTCCTCATAGGGCTTGTTCTCCAGACCCTTGATCATTTTAGTCACCCTCCTCTGGACACATTCCAGCTTGTCAATATCTCTCTTCAATTATGGTGCCCAGAATTGGACACAATATTCCAGGTGTGGTCTAACCAAGGCGGAATAGAGGGGTAGCATGACTTCCCTAGATCTAGACACTAGACTCCTATTGATGCAGGCCAAAATCCCATTGGCTTTTTTTTGCCGCCACATCACATTGTTGGCTCATGTTTAACTTGTTGTCCATGAGGACTCCAATATCTTTTTCACATGTACTGCTCTTGAGCCACGCACTGTCCAGACTCTTTTTTCTTGCTGCCCAGACCTCCCCCCCCCCCCCCGTCATGTGCTTTTACTGCCATTGGCCCAGCCTGTCAGTCAAATTGTAAAACACAATGTAGCCCCAAAAATTTGCCCATACCTGATATATGTACATTATATGGAATAGGTAAAGGTAGTCCCCTGACATTAAGTCCAGTCATGTCTGACTCTGGGGTGTGGTGCTCATCTCCATTTCTAAGCCGAAGAGCCAGCGTTGTCCGTAGACACCTCCAAGGTCATGTGGCCGGCATGACTGCATGGAGAGCCGTTACCTTCCCGCCGGAGCGGTACCTATTGATCTACTCACATTTGCATGTTTTCGAACTGCTAGGTTGGCAGAAGCTAGGGCTGACAGCGGAAGCTCACGCCGCTCCCCGGAATTGAACCTGTGACCTTTCGATCAACAAGCTCAGCAGCTCAGTGCTTTAACCCACTGCGCCACCGGGGGCTCTAATTATATATTTACATTACATATATTTCTCCACAAGAAAGGGCTCCGTGGCTGAAAAAGTTTGAGAACCCCTGGTCTAACCTATTCAACCTTTAGAGAAATCCATTTTTATAAGGTATCTACATGTCTTCCCAATAGCTAATAAGGTATACTGAGCCATCTAATTTAATTACACAACTTTCCACGTATGAAATTGGAAACATATTTTCTTTTTGCAGGTACCTTGCGATCGTTCACCCCCTGAAACCAAGGATGAACTACCAAACAGCAACCTTCCTCATTGCTGTGGTTTGGATAGTATCCCTCATCATTGCCATACCATCAGCATATTTTGCAACAGAAACTGTCCTTTTCATGATACAAAACCAAAAGAAAATTTTCTGTGGACAGATTTGGCCAGTCGACCAACAGATATATTACAAATCCTATTTCCTGTTCATCTTTGGAATTGAGTTTGTCGGGCCTGTTCTCACAATGACTCTCTGCTATGCCAGGATCTCACGAGAGCTTTGGTTTAAAACTGTGCCGGGCTTCCAGACGGAGCAGATAAGGAAGAGACTTCGTTGCAGAAGGAAAACCGTGTTGGTGCTCATGTGCATCCTAACTGCCTATGTCCTCTGCTGGGCACCTTTCTATGGCTTCACCATTGTCCGTGACTTTTTCCCCACTGTGTTTGTGAAGGAGAAGCATTACCTGACAGCCTTCTATATCGTCGAATGCATTGCCATGAGCAACAGCATGATCAATACCATGTGTTTCATAACTGTAAAGAACAACACCATGAAGTATTTCAAGAAGATTGTGCTACTCAGATGGAGGTCTACCTACCATGGCTCCAAGTCAAGTGTAGACACAGACATCAGAACAAGTGCTATGCCGGTCACAGAGGAAGTGGATTGCATCAGACTTAAGTGAAGTCCTGCCAGATGTCTTCTTCAACAAAAATTTACTGTATTTTTGATGTAAATTGCATCCCTCCCCCATTCTGTACATATAAAGGTGCTGCAGATGGAAGCTCTGTCTGAGCGAGAATTCTTGAACGCTGTTGAATACTCTGACAAACAAAACCTGTGGAAATGAACCATCTTTGCCCACTGTCACCCCACTTTTCCTTGCTTTGTTTCCCATCTGGCAAATTTCTGTGTGTACACCTGCAGTTTTGGAAGTATAAAAGCGGCAATGGAAAAAGAACAAATTCATCAAAGGAAATGGAACTGTTCCCAAGCATTCACCTTTCCCTTTCACACAATCTTCACAGCCTCTTAACAAGACTGCATGCCTTGCCAATTCATCACTTGTGTAACACAAAAAGGTTTGCGGATGATCGACATGCTGTTTAATGAGTCAGTAGGCTGCAGTTATGCTTCTTACATTTTTGGAATAAATCCAGAAAAGACAATTCCAAGACTAAGGCTTGACCTCTTTCTCAATACTAAATTTGTTCCTCTTGGCTATCGCAGTTGATGGAACAAGGCTTGATTTCTGTGGAAATTAATATTTCCTGCAAAATTGTTTCCCTGTGGCATAATTTCTGCCCATTATGAACACCGAGGTAACTTTATTCATATTGTATACCTGATAAATTGAGCAGCTGCACTTTTAGGAATCCAGTCTCTTTAGTTTGTCAGGTTTTTTTTAGAGAGATGTAAAGCTATCTTGTATTTAAATTCCCTATATTTGTAAATCAGATGTGTAAATTTGTAAATCAATATGTGCCAATTGTTATAGATTGGGTGGATTTGTCTGCTTTTTTTTTTTTTTGTCATGTCAGGAGCGACTTGAGAAACTGCAAGTCGCTTCTGGTGTGAGAGAATTGGCCGTCTGCAAGGATGTTGCCCAGGGGACGCCCGGATTATTTGATGTTTTTATCATCCTTGTGGGAGGCTTCTCTCATGTCCCCGCATGAGGAGCTGGAGCTGATAGAGGGAGCTCATCCGCCTCTCCCCGATTCGAACCTGTGACCTGTCGGTCTTCAGTCCTGCCGGCACAGAGCTTTAACCCACTGCGCCACCGGGGGCTCCTTTGTCTGCTACTTAAAGGTGATTAACCAAAGCAGGATATATAGACACATGAAAATCCATTTGATTTTTTTTTAAAAAAAATATTTTAAATGAATATGGCATCTCATCTGATTGGTTTTTTTAAAATCTATATAAATAAAAATGTAATGTTCGTTTGTGGGATTAACATAACTCAAAATCCACTGAACAAATTGACACAATTTATTTATTTAAAACTTTTATATCCCGATCTTCTCACCTCCGTAGAGGGACTCAGACCGGCTCAGACCACAAAAATTGGACACTACACCCCCATATATATATATCTTCTTTCCTTTCTCCCCTCTCCCTTCTCCCCCTTTACTCCTCCCCCTTTCTCTCTTCACTCCCCTTCCCCCCTACCCTAATAAAGATGATTGTAAAAAAATTGGACATTACACCCCTAACAGACCAACAAGTGACAATCACTCATAAAACCCTCCCAAAAAAGCTAAATGGTGATGCAGCACATGTGCAAAAATGACAACTCCCAGCATCCCCAGGACCAGGCCCTTTAGGGGAGGAGTATGCACCAAATGCACTGCTTCCAAGCTGCAAGCTTGCTTCTCCTTGTATTTTTTTTTTAGAGCTTCCCAATCCTTACATATTTCCTATTTCCTATTCCTGGACTGCAACTCCCAGCAATCCTCCAGATAGATAAGATATATAGATTAGATAGAGATAGATAGTAGGTAGATAGATCAATCAGGAGGACTGCTGGGAGTTACAGGAAGAAAGGAGAGAAAGAAAGAAGAAAAAGGAAGGAAAAAAGGCAAGAGGGAGGGAAGGAAGGAGAGAAAGAAAGGAGAAAAAGAGGGAGGGAAAGTTGGCCACAGCAACGCATGACGGGTACAACTAGTGTGTGTGTGTGTATATATATATATGTAATGTTCGTTTGTGGTATTCACAGAACTCAAAAACCCCTGGACGAATTGGCACCAAATTTGGCAGCAAAACGCATTGTAATCTGATCTATGTCTTCCAAACAAAAAAAATCTTTAAAAAGGAAGGGGAAATAACTTTAATATCCCCTCCCAAAAAGTACCTAACTGAGCATGCACAAGAGGCCCTCTCCCCAGTGAGCACGAGAAGACCGAGGCACCAACCATGGAGAGGGAAAGGGGCTGCCTTGCCATGGAGCCCCTTTCCAAGCAGGAAGGCAGAGTCCTGAGGAAAGGAAAAGGGGAAAGAAGGTAGGAAGGAGAGACGGAGGAGGGCGTGGAGCCTTGGCGAGGCAAGCCCCGACAGTCACCGTAGAGGCTCCTTGAGGCCCACTAGCAAAATTACAGTTATGAAGGAGCAATGAAAATAGTATTATGGTTGGGGGTCATCACAACATGAGGAACTGCATTAAGGGGTTATGGCATTCAAAAAGTATAGAAACACTGCTAAAGACATCCTATAAAAATACTGTCTGTGTATTTATGATTAACATAAATCAAAAACCACTGAACGAATAGACACTAAATTTGGACAAAATACATATATCAGGCCAGCAACAAGTGACCATCACTCATAAAAACACTGAAAAACACAGCAGAAGAGACTAAAAAAGCAAAAAAAAAATACAAAACCACATATATATGCAAACACATACATATACACAAATATATACACACATATACACACACAAAATACATATACACAGACTGGGCCACAGCAACGCGTGGCAGGGGACAGCTAGTGTATGTGTGTGTGTGTGTGTGTATACACCAAGGCAGTTCTCAAATTATAATAGGGGGATGTATACAGCCCTTTATTAAATCCACAAGCGCTGCCCCAAAGGTCCTGACTTTCTTTCCACTTCAGAAATAACATTCTGCTTTCCTAACTTTCTAACATGCATTAGTGATTTAGTGATCACAAAAGGTGTGTTAGAGCAACTAATTGAAGCACCAAATTGAAAGTCTTCAAAGGCATCCTTCTATATGTATAAGAGGAGGAAAACTGAAGATGCCATGAGTAAATATGCATATATTGCAGATTATTCTGGGAATTCAAATAGTTCATTTCATGTCATTCATGAGATGAAGTATGGCAGCCTTTATGAACAGGTTTTGCATGTGAAATCGCCCTAGTTTAGTATATGGCATAGCAAGTAAATTGGATGCAGGCAGAAGGGTTGATGTGAACCTCTGCCTTAGACTTTAAGAAACAATTATTTGAAAGGAATACCAATTGCATCTGACTGTGGCAGTCTCAGACATTCAGCTAAAGGGCCAATCAATGCACATTTCATGCAAGACACAGAAAAAAGGTTTCTCCTCCTGTATAAATATCTGAACATATATTTGAAAAATGAAAAATGGCCAACTGCAGAAGGCTTTGTCCATTGCATAAGTTGCAGATAGCTATTATTTATTTATTTATTTATTATTTACAGCTTTTATATTCCGCCCTTCTCCGCAGGTGACTCAGGACGGATTACAGTGTACACATATATGGCAAACATTCAACGCCAATTTTTGACATACACAGACATACAAAGAGGCTATTTAACTTTTTCTGGCCGCCAGGGGAGCTGTCGCTTTCCTCGTCCATCTGCGACGCTGATGAAGCACTTCCGCATTCCCCGTGTGCTTCCCCGCTGGAATGCTTTGCTGGAGTCTTCTTTATGGCCTCATAAATCAGTTAATTTAGCCTCCCCGCACTTTTTAAGGTGGTACCTAATTTTCCTACTTGACAGATGCAACTGTCTTTCAGGTTGCAAAGGTCGACAACAGGCTACACACAATTGGTTGGAAACCCACTCCAACCCGGGCTGGCTTCAAACTCATGACCTTTTGGTCAGAGTGATCTTAATGCAGCTGACACTCAGCCAGCTGCGCCACAATCCCGGTGCTAGATCGTTTTTTCTCCTATTGGATTTGTAGCTTCTTGCGTCTTATGAGCAGCTGTAGTGTGAGGTGACCTAATTAGAGGACTTTTGCATAAAGTTTACCAATGTTGACAATCTCCCCACTGAAGTCCCATAAAAAACATCCCAGATGAAAAGAAAATTGAAAAATTTGGGGAAATTGTCAAAAATGTTTCTGGAATGTCAAGGAACCCTGATGAGAAGAATCCTGGATTAACAAGAATCTTTGCAAACTTATTATCTGCAAAAAAAATTACATATGGTTGTTGTAAGAGCAGGAATTGTACTAATTCAGCGGTTGTTCTGCCCCAAATCTGCATGTTGTGATTTGCATGGAAAACAGCATTTTCTATACAAGAACATCTTGTTCAGTGTGTAACTATGTTTTCTGCACAGAAAGCGCTGTTTAATGTGCAAAGCAACCAGGAGCAAATAGAGTTTGCCAAAAAGAAAAAGTTGTTTGAATCTTTGAACCATATACACCTCTATGTTTATTGCCTATTTGGCTACTCATAGGATGGTTGCTCCGAGGATGCCTCCTTCTTGACCCTATTGTTGGCTAGTTGGCAGAGGTTGCACATACATATATGGATCCAATCATGTATACATACAAACATACTCACTATACCAGGGATATCAAACTCATTTTCACCAAGGGTCACGGAGCCCCCGGTGGTGCAGTGGGTTAAACCCCTGTGCCGGCAGGACTGAAGACCGACAGGTCGCAGGTTCGAATCCGGGGAGAGGCGGATGAGCTCCCTCTATCAACTCCCGCTCCTCATGCGGGGACATGAGAGAAGCCTCCCACAAGGATGATAAAAACATCAAATCATCCGGGCGTCCCCTGGGCAACGTCCTTGCAGACGGCCAATTCTCTCACACCAGAAGCGACTTGCAGTTTCTCAAGTTGCTCCTGACAAGACAAAAAAACCCACCAAGGGTCACATCGTGCAGATGGTTGCCTTTAAAGAGCCACTTGCAATTGAAAGACTGTAAATGTAGTTATGTTTCCCTGTACTTGAATGCCTCACAGGCCACATAAAATGACTTGGTGGGTCAGATTTGGTCTGCGGGTTTTTCATTTGACTCATTTGACTCATACAGCCTCCAATGTTACCATCAATGGAATAACCAAACTCCTAGAAGGGTTGGTGGTAGTGAGAAAGTTTTTTGTTCTTGTTATCCCTAGGTTGGTATCCTCTCTTTAACATGAGACCGGTAAATCTTTTATGTTACCGGTGGCGGCAAAAAAAGCCAATGGGATTTTGGCCTGCATCAATAGGAGCATAGTGTCTAGATCTAAGGAAGTAATGCTACCCCTCTATTCTGCTTTGGTTAGACCACATCTGGAATGTTGTGTCCAATTCTGGGCACCACAATTCAAGAGAGATATTGACAAGCTGGAATGTGTCCAGAGGAGGGCGACTAAAATGATCAAGGGTCTGGAGAACAAGCCCTATGAGGAGCGGCTTAGGGCTGGGCATGTTTAGCCTGAAGAAGAGAAGGCTGAGAGGAGATATGATAGCCGTGTATAAATATGTGAGAGGAAGCCACAGGGAGGAGGGAGCAAGCTTGTTTTCTGCTTCCTTGGAGACGAGGACGCGGAACAATGGCTTCAAACTACAAGAGAGGAGATTCCATCTGAACATTAGGAAGAACTTCCTGACTGTGAGAGCCGTTCAGCAGTGGAACTCTCTGCCCCGGAGTGTGGTGGAGGCTCCTTCTTTGGAAGCTT